TTATCCGGAACTTGTAGGTCTGAACATATTACACCAGTTCTGTCCTCCCTTCACTGGCTCCCTGTTTGTATGAGGATAGTCTTTAAAATTCTTCTGTTGACTTTCAAATGCTTAAATGGCCTCGCACCCCTTTACCCCTCTGAGCTTCTGGAACCTTACGTTCCCTCTCGGGCCCTGAGATAATCCGATCAGCTGCTTTTGGCTGTTCCAAAAACAAGACTGAAGTTCAGAGGATATCGGGCTTTTTCAGTTATGGGCCCCAAACTCTGGAACAACCTGCCTCCCTTCAACCTGCCCCCCAACATCAGGCAGGCCACCTCCCTTACACACTTCAAATCCCTGCTAAAAACACATCTGTTCTCTCAGGCATTTCACACTGTGTAAATTGATCTAGTGTTTTTTTTTTATCTGTGATCCTATGTTTTAAATGCTTTTTATTAACTCTTGAGTTATTATTATTAGTGTATTGTATATATATGTATATATATATATTTTTTTCTCTTTAATTTACTCATTGATTTTTGTTGTTGTTGTTGTTGTTGTTGTTGTTGTTGTTGTTGTTGTTGTTGTTGTTGTTGTTGTTGTTGTTGTTAAGTACTTTGATAACAGGTTCTGTTTTAAATGTGCTCTATAAATAAAGTAGACTTGACTTGACTTGACTGCAACCTGAAGCCACGAAGAGACAACCCTCTTGTTAAGATAAGATAGAACTTTATTGATCCTGCAGGAAATTGTTGTGCCAGAGTTTCAGTACAAAGGAATATACACAAGGAATCATACAAGATATAAAATAACAGAGAATGTAAAAATAGCAGAGAATATAAAAATGCCAGCAATTAAGATCTAAACAGGTCAAGTGCAGACATGTGTGAAATGTCTTTGTGAAATGTTTTAATGTGCAAACATGAATGTGTTTATTGTGGTGCAAGATTAGTTTTAGCATCTTATGTGCAGAAAGGGGGAGAACACTGGGAGAACTCCAAAACGGAGGCATTCACAAGCACAAGAGCCACTTGTTTTCGAACCTGTATACCTGAGGGAAAGTATGTTTTTGTTAAACCAGGTTTAAAACAAAGAAAGCTACGATATGTTGGACTTGTTTTGTAGAACATCTCCTAGTTAACCAGAAATGTATATTTTGCCATCTGAAATAACTCCGATTAGAAAAACAGATTTTAGAGAAGACTATATTGGCAATATTTATAATTCCAGTATTTGAAGGGCTTTAGTTAGCCTCAAAATAGCTTTTTTCATCCAAATTTGTTTGAGTGTAACACTTAATTTTTTTTTTCCTGTAGAACTCTTTTTGACTTCATTGATCTTCTGCTGCTCCTTCAGGCTCTGCTGTTCAACCCAGCCAAACCTTTCTTGAGAGGTACAGGAAGTCAGAACACTGATGTGGAGCTTATGGTGGATTGCTTCGTCTCATGTTTTCGTATTAACCCTCACAACAACCAGCAATTTAAGGTAAAGTAAATGTTGCCTGAACCTGTACATGGTAAACAATACAAGTAAGTGTTTATAGTAAGGATGTTCTCTGGTTGGCGTTTGTTAGTGGAATCTTTTTCTTTTCTTTTTTGGAGGACAGATTAGATGGATTATGACTTGTCACATCTTACATGTGAGCTAAGACTCAGCTCAGTTCGGAGCCGTCACTAACATCTGTTTTCAGTGATCGAATTGCATCTGATTAACCATAAATACGAATATATTTACTTCTGTTGTCTGTCTGCAGTGGTGCTTGAAAGTTTATGAACCCTTTTGAATTTTCTATTTTTCTGCATAAATATGACCTAAAACATGATCAGATGTTCACACAAGTACTAAAGTAGATAAAGCAGGGGTCTTGAAACCTGGTCCTCGAGGGCCACTGTCCTGCATGTTTTAGAGGCTTCCTTGCTCCAATACATCTGATTTGAGTCAATGGGTAATTAACAGGCATCTGACAGAATATGAAGAGGTAATTTAACCACTGAATCATTTGTGTTGGAGCAGAGAAACCTCTAAAACATTCAGGGTCGTAACCCTCGATGACCAGGATTGGACAGCCCTAAAATGAAGAGAACCCAGTTCAACAACAGAAGTCATCTCAGGGCAATGTATGGAAACATTCACATACATAAAATCCGTTAATCCCATTTATCTGAGGATTAACGGTTAATTAATTTTTTTATTTTTTACTTTTATAGCCGAACAAGAACAAGGCAAATCGCATACAAACATGTTCTAGAATTGCGCCGCTCAAGGTGGCTGCATGTTGGAGCAGCTCTGCTACTTTCATTCTGAGATATTACTTTTGAAAACTTTAATTCCTCTTTTTTCTGGATATAAATCACTTTTTTTGGATGATTATTTCCTCTGGTGTCGGATGCTGTGCAGCTGGAAGGATTTTTACATAAATATATTTTCTTTTGGACATTTGTTATGATGCGTAACCATAACAACAAGGTTGTTTTTTACAACCGGGAGCGGCTGATTAACATCTCCAAAGCTCAAATAATATCTCAACTACAGCCTCAAATCCCAAATGAGTTGAAAAGGAGGCATCGTGGATGCAGAGCAGGAGCAAAGAAGAGGGAGAAAGAGAGAAGAATGCAGTTTAAACCATCTCTTCCATCAATCATGATGGGCAATGTGAGATCGCTGGGAAACAAGTTGGATGAACTTCAAGCCTTAACAAGGACCCATCCAGAGTATCGGGAATGCAGTGTTATGTGTTTCACTGAGACATGGCTGCAGGATCATATCCCCGACTCCAGCGTTTCTCTGCCAGACTTTCTGACCATACGAGCAGATAGAGATTTAAAGAGGAGTGGCAAAAGGAAAGGAGGTGGGTTGGCAGTGCTTGTGAACAACAGATGGTGTAATCCTGGACATGTTACTGTGAAGTGTCGTCTCTGCAGTCCAGATATTGAACTGTTAGCACTAAGTTGTCGTCCATATTATTTGCCAAGAGAGTTCACCAGTGTTATTTTGGCAACTGTTTACATTCAGCCCAATGCTGTTGCCGAGACTGCGTGTGATGTCATCGGCTCCGAGGTTGCTAAGCTACAAACACAACACCCTAGTGCATTTATTGCAATATCTGGGGATTTTAATCATGCCTCTCTCTCTGCTACACTTCCGACATTCCAACAGTTTGTCAGCTGCTCTACCAGAGAAAACAAAACACTGGACTTGTTTTATGCAAATGTCAAGGATTCATACATCGCTAAAGCAAGACCCCCTCTTGGCAAATCAGATCACAATCTTGTGTTTCTCTGCTCAAAATATAAACCCCTTGTTCAGAGGCAACCTGCAATAAAGAGAACAGTGAGAAAATGGTCAACGGAAGCTGAAGAAGCCCTGCGGGGTTGTTTTGAGGCTACAGACTGGGATGCACTGTGCCAGCCACATGGAGAGGAAATCAATGCCATGACTGAGTGTGTGACCGACTATATAAACTTCTGTGTAAACAACACAATTCAATTCAATTCTATTCAAAAATACTTTATTAATCCCAGAGGGAAATTATATGTTGGGTAACTCATCATCCTGGTTTCATTAATGAGTTGTTATAGATGCTGATGGCTGTGGGCAGGAAGGATCTCTTGTAGCTTCTGTCTTACAAGGGATTTGAAGAAGCCTCTGACTGAAGACACTCTGTTGTTGTATGACA